ATTTTGTAAAGTGAAAATTTTGAAATTTTATGATTTGATTGACTATAATATTTTGCTGTTTATGTACAAGGCTCATAAAAACTTATTACCATCCAACATTCAGGTGAACTTTGTTAAGAGAGACAGTTGTTATTATCTAAAGGGGATGGAAATGTTTGTGAAACCATATTTTTGTACTTGCTTGAAAGAAAGATGTAGTTTAATCCAGGGTATAGTTTAATCCAGGGTGTAGGATTATGGAATGGTCTGGAAGATGATCTTAAAAATGCCAGATCTATGTATATATTTATGAAATATAAAAGCTAATTTTCTGAAGGTATATGGAAAAGTAAAATGTGAAGCTGTATGAATTGTTGTTTGAGTTGATGTTTTTATTTTTATTTGTCTTATTCTGTGAAATATTTTTCATTTGAATATATTCTTGGGTTAAAGGGGCAGACATTAGATTTATTCTTCTTCTGCTACCTTTCATTTTATTTTGATTTGTGTATTTTCTTTGTTTTTTATTGTATACAGTTATTTTTAATTAAATTAATACATTTTTTTAATTGAATTGAACTTTGGTCTGATTTCCTCCTCATTGTGTCTCCGTAAGCCAACTCGTTTTGAGGCTGTCTCTTTAAATTCAAAGGAGGCGCCAGTCCGGTTCATTACTAATTGTGTTTACCTTGGCAGCCAGGCAGTGTGTGTCACAGTTGTGTGGTTTTCATGGTAAAGTCAGATTATCGGCCTTATTTCAAAATTTCGATTGTGACAAAGTTTTGTTGGAGGTCTGAGTCGGCTGTTTCTGCTGTGACTTACTGTTGTTGCACATGTTGACTGCAGCCTCAGTCAGACACTCTCCTGTCTGCATGTCACAGTGGCCGCTCTCACAGTTACACTCTGTAAAAAAGAACGACGCACATCATTGTAGAACAACACAAACATTGTGCACCTCAGCTGGGAACAAGCCAGTCCTGTGAAGAGCCAGATGTGAGAGGGGCTGATGTCTCAGCAGCTGCTGCATGGATTCAGATGGGAGGTGATGTCAGGCTCTGGGTTAAAGGTCAACAGATGTGTGTCTGACATCATGGACATGACTGCAGGCGTGGGTGTGAGAATGTAAGCTAACAGTTCAGACGTTTCCTCTGAGGATGCTGACATGTAGACGCCTGACTTACTCCTGCAGCCGGAGGCGCTGTAATCCCAGTGTCCTGGGAGGCAGCGCTCGCAGTAACGACCCCCAGCCCCGGGACGACATGGACAGCTGTGGGTGAGGGGGTGGCAGGTGGAGCGGATGGAGGCTGGCCCACATTCACATCTCCGACAGCCCTGACAGCTGGAGAAGCCAGAGTACCCTTCCTGCATGACCGAGACCAGTAACACCAGTTAGAAATCTGAGAGGATCGTTTTAGACCTCTACTGGAACGTTCCCTTTCCTTTTACTCGTTTGGATCATTTACTCAGTTTTCTTGTTTATAGTGAACTCAGCAAGGTTATAACAGGTTTGGATTTTTCATTAAAGTTTAGTTTTATTTTGTCGTGACCTTTTTTCTTTGAATTCAGTTTTAATAAGTTTTTAAAGTGGATTTGCAGTGTTGTATAAAGTACCTCAAAGTGATACTTTGGTAAAAGTTAAAGTCTTCTCTAAAAGTCTTAAAGTATCTGAATTATATATATATACACTCACCGGCCAATTTATTAGGTACACCTGTCCAACTG